CAAACTTGGACAGTGGTACTAGGGACTGTCTTAGTGGACATCACAAACTTGTAGGACAGTGGTACTAGGGACTGTCTTAGTGGACATCACAAACTTGTAGGACAGTGGTACTAGGGACTGTCTTAGTGGACATCACAAACTTGTAGGACAGTGGTACTGTCTCAAGGTTTAACTTTGGATACCTGGCAATCATTTGTCTGTTAGTAAGATTGTTTGTTACACCTTGGACTAATTACAGCCAGAGAGTGGTAAACAAAGGGAAGTAAACAAAGGTAGATAAACAACTAGATAGAAATAATTTGTTACAAATCTTGATTTCGTTAGTGTAAGAATTCTCGTATATTTTTATATGGTGTTCACTACATGGTAGGTAAAGTAACAGTTCATCGTATGTCTTCCCATCATAAGTGAACTTTAAGTGAATCTTCAATTATGTAACTGTAGGGTATATTTTTAGCTAACTGTAGTATTACACAGCGGCAGGAATAAATCATAGAAAAAAATGTAGTTCTTACGGTAATGCACTTTTTTACACCATTAAATTGATAGAATTATATTTATCCTCAGGTTTTGTAGTATGCCAAATTCAGAGCTGCACTATTTTAATATTCCACAAACTTTTGTGATTCACAACTATTTCTAAAATAAACTCCTGCAGCATTATGCTAAAATTAACCAAAACCTTTTAATCTGAGAAACATGCAAGTGACCCCACCCCACTAGCTGTCAAACGTAAACAAACAAAATCTCGATCATGTTATTTCAGCAGGTTAGTGCAAATGGGTTGCATCTAACGATGTACGTTCTCAAGCTATGTGTCGGGGAACTTTTGTTTGTAATGGAAAATATATTTTCCTACATGCACAACGAATCTATATTACACATCACGCTAATGAACTTGGTAAATGGCAATGAATGCAAATGATTGTATATTTACTTCAAACAATAAGAGTACTACACATTACAAACAATTAATTCAGTCAATAAGGTTGGACAACATAGAACAAACAATCTACTTAAGTCAAGAGATAGGACAACATAGGACAAACAATCTACTTCAGTCAAGAGATAGGACAACATAGGACAAACAATCAACTTCAGTCAAGAGATAGGACAACATAGGACAAACAATCAACTTTAGTCAAGAGATAGGACAACATAGGACAAACAATCAACTTCAGTCAAGAGATAGGACAACATAGGACTTCAGTCAACAAGAGATAAAACAACTCAGGACATTCGACTAGCAAACTTTAACGTTACCTACCACTTGGCTTATCTACTAACGAAATAAAAAGAGAACATACATTAATTTTACCACAGAGGTCTGGAAAACAAGCTGGCAACACGACCAAAAACCCGGACAACTGGTTCTCTAAACCACAACAAAACCTGCCCGACCAAGCGAGTAGCAAAGAAATACGTTACGCCTCTCATTGTATGTTACTGGTGTGTATGTGGCCTTTGACTGGTTGGCTTGCCTGAGTAAACTATGGATTTATTTTGTTTGATTGTTTAACCTTGTTTTAATTACAAGACTTGGGTGGCTGCCATCCGACACGAGATTTTAGAACCCCTGGAGTCAAGGGCAGGTGACGTCACCTTACCAGGCTGTGCCGATTGTGGCAGACTGATGTTGTGAGGACGGCTAGTAGTAGCTGTTACAGAATTAGCATCAGTGGGAAGAAAGGAAAAATGAATACTGAATATGGTTCTTATCGATTAGCCGTACCCTGATATATCTATAATAGGAAACTATGATCACGATGCGCTCACTCGTAACTTAGGGTTGTAGATCTACAACGCAGCCTTGAAAACGGATTTTTTAATCTGAATTTTAAGATATCGACTAGTTTTATGGTTAGAAATTAGGGCTAGGCGTATGGTAGTTGGGGTTAGGTATACGGTTAACACTGACATAACATTAGCAAGTCATGTGTGTATTTAGTTAACTACCGGTAACCTAACACCCCCTTTTTAAGAAGATTCTATTATCGGACACTGGTATAAAAAAATCCCCGATTATTTTTCAACAATGTTTGTATTGCTCTAATGCCAAAACATGTTTTCATAAAGGAATAGATTACCAATGGTGTTGTGCCACTAAAGTGGCGCCCTCTATGCAGCCTGTGTTGATGTTGTAGGATCGGTGACAAGCAAGCCAGCTCTACCTATTTACTACGCCAAACAGCTTTAACAAAAATAGGTTAACGCAGCTGCGGTTGCATTCATTTTTTTCCCCAATTTAGATCAGCGGTCCTCAAACTATGGTTCCGTTACACTTGTTAATTCTTTAGATTTGTAAAGAGGCTCATGAGTGTAAAGGAGAGCATTTATAAACTAACAGAAATAGAATAGATAATTTTAAGTAAAACAGGCGAATAAAGATTACGTTTAGAAGCGAGCTATAATTTTATAATCAACCTTTCAATTTTCTTTCACGGCTGAATATATATATATATATATATATATATATATATATATATATATATATATATATATATATATATATATATATATATATATATATATATATATATATATTCATACATATGCAGCGTGTATATTAACTTTCATGTCCTAAGTGTACAACCATTATCTGCCCACTCTCAGTAACAGAAGTTATTTTTATCGTTATTCGATACATCAAGCAATCAGCAGAGCTTCCAATGGCAATAAAAAAATGGCAGAGGTATCAGATAACATTAGAGCGGTTAAACATGTACATGGCCAATACGCAAATGTGTGTTAGTTTCGACAGCTGAGTGATACTGTTCTCTAGTAGGACCAAAGAGTTAGAAATTATGGTTCATATGCTGACTCTCATGTTAGTTTTCTACTATTTTCGACACCAGTGGATTGGCTACAACTACTTATCAGTCGATAAAGATACGTCATCCCTAAACCCCGAGTCTTACTTTGAGCTCACCCCCAAGGCACGTCCATAATAAAGGAAGTCAGCTAAACACGCCGACTTCCCGTCTTCCGTCCTGCCCCTTTCTGACACTTATCACAAATTGTAGTTAGATAATGTAATTAGTTTTTACCACTCTCGTGAAATAACCACAGTACAAAATTATAGCAAGTGTTGGAGTGAAGAGTGAAGTAAAGCTCCCTTTCAAACCTGACGGTCTATGGGGCAAGCAAAGAGGAGTTCACCAGAGTTTCTTCCAGTCTACACCAACCCCACACCCCACCCCCCCCCCCACGAACGAAATGGAATTTATATAGAAAATATATACTTTTAACAGTGTTCGCCTTCCATTCCCCCCCCCCCCCCACTCCCAATCCTGAGAAAAAAAGTCTGGAAGAAACACTGAAGTTCACCTGTTTCTGTGACCTAATAGCATATGAAGGGATAGTGTGGTCAGCACTATACCCAACTGCCTTTACTTTCCCTAACGTGAGTCAGGTATCCATCAGAGTTGGGTGGACTCAGGGACGTTCTACGGACTCGAAACCGGATTCGAACTCGAGACTTTCGGGTTAGCAGTCGTGTGCTCTGATTGGAAGTGTGGTACACACACTAAATGTAGTACATCGACGTCAGATAGTGGGGACAACTCATTAAAAGTCGACATGCTAATTAATTAATAATATTGATTAAAATATGTATAAATATTGTAATTTTTACTAACCAAAATGTCTATTTACGGTAATATTATATTAAATGTATTTGTATACGGTAATATTAATTAAAATAGTATTATACGTGGTAAAATTAATTAAAAATCTTTATACACGGTTATATTAATTAAAATATATTTATTAAAGTTTATTTTAATTAACAGGCGTTAGAATGGCTAATGAATAAACAACGGGTGATAATATATTTTTTAAAAGATTGTGCAATCTTCCTTCAAAAAAAAAAACCGGCGAGTTGAATAAAACGCATTAATTGCAGGCAGTGTAATTTACATTTCCTACCCCCACCCCCTTTCCCCATGTCACACATTGTCACTGCAGTAATAAAACTCACCTTTTTAGGTGAGTGACGTCAATTAGCACAACGACTAACCCTTGCATAAACCCAAAGGTAATCAAACAAGAAACATTTATAGCTATTGCTGTCGATAATAAAAGCTATACGATTGTGTGTGGGCATGGATATTCTACAATAATGAAACAATAATTCCTGGCAACAGTGGCGTAGCCAGGATCGTCTCAAGGGGGGGTTCCAATTTTTACCCGGGGACAAACTTTCGATTTGCACCCCCCCCCTCAAACTTTCGATTTGCACCCCCCCCCTCAAACTTTCGATTTGCACCCCCCCCAAACTTTCGATTTGCACCCCCCCCCCTCAAACTTTCGATTTGCACCCCCCCCCCTCAAACTTTCGATTTGCACCCCCCCTCAAACTTTCGATTTGCACCCCCCCCCTCATACTTTTTTATATATACCGAGGGGTCTATGGGGGGGGGGGTTATGACCCCCCCTAACCCCCCCCTGCCTACGCCACTGCCTGGCAATCCATACACTATAGATCTTCAACGACAAATTAATGCTCCTTTTACATTTTAGTCAACATAAAGTTCATAATGACTATTAATAACTACGTATTGTATTGTGCTTTCTTATTACATGCAACATAAAACGTTAACCAGAGTCAAACAAATTGAAACATTTACGGAAAATACTAGATCTAGATCTAGATCTAGATTCTAGATCTACATTCTATAGTCAGTGCTGAACTTGAACAAAATTAATGCGTAATTATTTTAATTGGTTAATTAAGAAAATCATAAAATTAAGCATTGGGGTTTTCTAAGGTTGGTATCTAAATAGAAAACAAAGAGCCACTGCAACACACTGTTTACTAACATTTAACACATGTGTAGTTTTATGAACGTCGGACTGGCAGATCGATGATTGAGAACCATCATAGAATAGAGAAATAAAAAAAACTAGGTCACATGTACAGCTGATTTCAGAACCCGAGGTCATTCAGCTTTTTAAAAACAGTAAAATACTGATAAAAATAGCTTTAATAATTTACTTACCGGTAAACAAGAAAACTATGTCTATGAATAATGTAGATGATATTCCGTAACACTGACACTTGTTTTTCGGTGTGTAATCATGTATGTAATTCACCGAACTCATCTGTTATTGTTACAGCACTTTGTTGTTGCATAGTGGGTAATACTGTACAACACTCGCTGCCGCTACGATTGGTGCACACCACAAAAGAAGTCAACTTCAGTCTAACACGTCAGTAATATTGTTTTTTACTAATGCATAACAGCTAATAATATAATCCATTAACAATTTGATGAACAAAATTCATTTGAAACACATTTTAATGCAAAAACTTCGCATTTAGCTCCGTAGGTTTATCCACGACGAATAAAACTAAAAGCAAGCCACAGCCCAAGTGACTGCAGTGAACCGAAACTCGAAAGGTTGACCGACATGCGCACTTGATATTCTCTCTCATAGCAGACGGAGAAAGCCGGTTAGAGAAGCGAGGTTTTTTTTTTTTTTGGAATGTGTTGTTTTAGACTTTACACTGTATCAGAAATAAAAGACATTTTTACAAACCTTGAAAATAAGTTATTAAAATTATTTTGTTGTATAAACTACATTTGACTAAAGTGATTTAGTTCTAGACTAATGAAAATTTGGTTCAGTTGGCTTTGTCTATCAACCATTTCTACTACACTTCACTAGAACTAGAATCTAGATCTAGATCTAAATGAGCAAAAGAGTGTTCCTTTGGTTACGGAATCTGCCTGTTAATAAATATAGGTTAAGTGCGAAGTTTCTTTCAGGAATCTCTTCGGGGTAAAGTTTATACTTTACGCAGTACTCCCCCCCCCCTAACTTTACGGCCATTACCCCCATCCCCGAAAGTTTCAAGTACTCCCCTTCAGTGGCGTAGCGAGGTCGGGTGTCTCCCGGTGCGGCTCTTAATGGTGTCACCCCCCCCCCCAGAGGCATAGAGACCCATCCCAGGGACAAACTTTCAAATTTTCGATTTGCACCCCCCTCAAACTTTCGATTTGCACCCCCCCCCCCTCAAGTTTTCGATTTGCACCCCCCCTCAAACTTTCGATTTGCACCCCCCCCTCGAGTTTTTCTCTATATATTTTGCTATTTTTTGCCTTGGTGTCACCCCCTCTAAATGGTGTCACCCGATGCGGTCCGCACCCCCCGCCCCCCTTCGCTACGCCCCTGCTCCCCTCCCCCCCCCCCCCACTGGTTAAGTAACATGAAGAGAAAACATAAGTGATTTGGGTCGTCCATAAATGACGTCAAACTCGTAGGGCGGGGGGTCCGTAATTTTGTGACTGTGTGGGTAGGCTGGGGGTGGGGGGGGGGGGTCAGATGGTGTGATGTCACACTTTTGCATTATAAAAGCAATGTTAGAAAACTAATTTTAGCCGTTATTTCGCGTTTTAGAAAATTGTTTTAATAAATTCTAATAGAAATTGATTTAAATATTCTACGTTGACAGAGTTCATACATGATTTTGGAAAAATTTAGTACTTTAAGAAAAATGCAACTGCAATTTTTTTTTTGGGGGGGGAGGGGTTGTAAGCTGAGGTGTGACGTCATTTAAGGGGGGGTCTGGCTTTTGTGACTATGTGTGACGGAGGGGAGGGAGGGATGAACCGTCAAAAATTGCGTGACGTCATTTATGGATGACCCCGTTATAATTTTATATGTTATAATTATTATTTTTTTGGTCCTTTTTTAAAATTTAAGGTAAAAATAACACCTCATATATACAGAATACTGAATAAAGGGTTGTACTACTCGTGGGAGGGGACAGCGTCGCGTAGCGAGGGGGGGGGCAGAGGCGTAGAGATAGAGGTGCAGGGGGTACATATGTCCCCGGGCGCCGACCTTAGGGGGCGCCAAAATGGGTTAGAAAAAAAAAATTGTCATTAAAGCTGCATGTTTGCATTATAAATAGTTTGAAGGGGGGTGCAAATTGAAAATTTGCTCCCGAGGGGGGCGCCAAATTGAAAGTTTGTCCCCGGGCGCCGGGAAGGGTCGCTACGCCTATGGGGGCATATATATATATATATATATGCGTGTGTGTGTATACTGTGTGTGTATCTATATATACTGATGGGGAGAATGACCAATCACAATCCCTAACGACATGGACTAAAATAATGTAGATCTAGCCGTTGAATGAACAGCTAGAAGTCCAGACTCGAGAAAAAAAAAGCAACAGTCTCAAAATGGAAGAACGTGATGAAGCAGATCAATGCCCAGAATGGGTGCTAGAGTTTGAGGTATATTACCTAAATGTAGTTACGTATTGGCAAGCTTCGAATTTTGAGAACCATGAAACATTTATTATGTGATTATACAGTGGTTGAGTACATTCTTCTAAAATAGGTAGGATGTTCAGTGCAAGTTTACTAAAAACAGGTGGGATGTTGAGTGCAAGTTTTCTGGAACTATTTTCTGCCTGTAGAGCTGTTGTGGTTGTTGTTGGGTGGGTGGGGGGGGGGGGGCACAGACACAACAACACGCCATCAATGACAGCTTAAATTAAAGCAACATGAAACGTATGCCGCATCTCTTTCAAAGGTTTCGTTTGATTGCAGCCCCTCTAGTGTCCATTCAGTGTGTAGATTTCTTAGGGACAAAGTTTGCTTAATGGTAAATTTCGTTTAATGGCAAAGTTTTTCTAAAGACGAAGTTCGTTTAATGACTAAGTTCGGTTGATATATAATGTTGTTTTAAAGTGAAAATTGACAGTGACAAAAATAAAAAGGAAAAAAAAATGTGTCCTAAAAATAAAAATCCAAACAGTCTATCGTATTTGGTTGTTTTAAATGTTAAACAGTGTAAAGCGTGCATCTACACTGTTAGAAATCTGGTACTTAAAATCCCTATTAACGGCCCATTTCAATTTTTAAAATGTGTTTTAACCTGTTCAATACATCCTAACATTGATATCTAGTCACCTTTGTTGATTTATTTCAACACTGTGATATCTAGTTTACATATTAACAAAGGTTGAAATGTGTATATGTTTTACGAAATATGTTATATACGAGAAAGTAAAACGTATACAAATTTCAACCTTTGTTAATATGCAAACTAGATATCAATATTAGATCGATGGTCAGTGTTGAAATAAATCAACAAAGGTGACTAGATATCAATGTTAGGATGTATTGAACAGGTTGAAACACATTTTTAAAATTGAAATGTTAGGATGTATTTTTTTCGTCAGAAGTTGAAATTTGTATACTTTTTATTTTCTCGTATATAACATATTTCGTATACCATATATAAAAATTCTTCAGCTTAACTGGAAACGGTATTCAAGTTATCGTGTTCACAAACACACACACATACATACACAGAAACATACAGATAAAATCGCAAAACTATGTTGTGTTTTTTTCTACTCAGGACGATGTAAAACGTAGAGATTTTTTCAAAATCTGGATTTCCATTTTTTTGTTCGCTTATTACACTGTCTCTATACTCTATACTATGTAGACGAGAAAGTAAAAGCTTAGTGAAAAGGAAAATTGAGCATTGTTATAATTATTCGTTAATTTTCCGTAACACTTAACGTAACTCAGTTTTAGCAGACTTTATCCCTCTATTGTAAACGTCGCCTCAAATTGTTGAATCCCCATTTAATGACTTGGTATTATTACTTCTATCCCTACCCCACAAAGCAACTAATATAAACTACCATATGTTTTGTTTTTCATGAAAGTAAACATTTTAAATAAATACTAACCTCTCTTAAAACCCCTTTCCTTCACTTAGCACACCGTCACAAAGTCAGCCATAAACCTAATCTAATTACGAATGACCCTGATTGCTAATTGAGTTCACTTTTAATATTTTTCAGAAAATAATAAATTATTTTTTTTAACAAAAAATTATGTCACTTTATTTTAATTTCACTTTGCCAAGCAAATAATTTAAATGAGGTGAGAATACCACCACCCAGACCTAATTTTAGACACTTTTCCCCACCTGAATAGTCTCTTGAAATCTCCGGGGGGGGGGGGAGGCGACTACTGGTTAAAGTATAGATTTTTTATGTAAATTATTTTTTTCTACTTCGTCCAGGGGGGGGGTGTGACGTGCTCCAGAGGGGCGGTCCAGCCACACCCCCCCCCTCCGGTGAGATGCCTGAAAAAAACCACTGCCACCACCCACTACCCCCCCCCCCCATTACATGTTACATAACGCACGTGGGCGGGCCATATCAGCAGCTATTTCTTCCCCCAGTTCGGCTTACAGCATCCATCGCCCGACATGTGAGCAGTAGCACATGCCACAGGGACAGAAAAGCTTTGTAAATGGCCTGGTCTTCTAACACACGGAGACAAATTTGTTGCTGGCTTGTTTATTGCTGGTTCATTACTGATGGATGGGGCTGCAGATAAACCAGAATAGCCACCAGCTCTGTGTTGACGGCGGGAATTACAGCTAGTATTCTTTTAAACGATCAATCTCAACTGTTTTTATTCACTGGATTCAGTTAGTTTGTCTTTTAAATCATAAACAGGGTTACATGAATGAATTGACTTGGTATTTTTTTTTACTTTTTGTTTTTATAATTTGGCTTCTTTTTTAAAAAATCTGGCCACTATCTGAATGCAATGCGCAAATGGTTTTTTTAACACGTTTTCCTAGCCATATGCTACCAAAGTGATACTGTACACATATTTAACGAGGCTACTATGTTTGGTTATTAACTAGCTTTGCGACGTTATTGCAACCTACTAAACTAATGACCTGAGTGACTGTTTTTGCAACTGCACATTCACTTTTTATTTGGTAAATACTCCTTCATCTTTCTTTTTTTTTTTAACTTACATTATTTTATGTAAATCATTCCTTTTTTTAAAAAAATAAAAATTGGCATAGTGCTGACCACACAATCCCCTCCTATGCCGAGTTTACAGAAAAAGGTGAACTTTACTTCGCTTGCCCCTGTACCGCCAGGTTCAAAAAGGGAACCCTACTTTATATGAATGAGCTCAGTGCAGAAGCCTTCTAACGACAGCTTAACTCGGTTAATTCCAACGACTTGACACTCATTACTTATTCGCAAAAAAAAAAAAAAATTACAAATCTAATTAATTAATTCAATATTAAATTTTTTAATTTATAGAATTAGATTTATTTACAAATAAATATCAAATTTCAGGTAAATGTTTTCTGTAATTAAATCTCTTCCGCTTGGACCCACAAACCCTGCAAAGTTCGGTGCCCATGCAAGACCCACGTGACAGGCAGTTCAAGACGGCTGTCCGGTTTTCAGAACCGTACTTTGGTAGCCATTTCTAATCTCAGACAAGACGGTTAATTGGACGTGAAGCCATCAGCGATGCGGGGCTGAGAAAGTAGAGCCATCGTTATAACTCGTGAATGGGCCGATCGTTATGACTTTTAATATGTGTGT